TGCCCCCTGCCCTGGTGCCAGGCTAGGGGACCTCAGGCCGTGTCCTCCGCCCTGGAGGGGCTTGACGGGGGACCTCAGGCCATGCCCCCCACCCTGGCACCAGGCCAGAGGACCTAAGGCCGCACCCCTCAGCCAGCAGGACTTAACAGGGGACCTCAAGGTGCATCCCTCGCCCTGGTGCTGGGCCAGGGGACCTCAGGCCGTGTCCCCCACCACAGCGCCAGGCCGGGGGACCTCAGGCTGCTACCCCCGCCTGGCGGGGCTTGATGGGGGACTTCAGGCCATGCCCCTGCCCTGGCCTGGGGACCTCAGGCTGTGCTCTCCCACCCTGGCGCCAGGCCAGGGGACCTCAGGCCGTGCCCTCCACCTGGCGGAGCTTGACAAAGGTGGGACTGGCCAGGTCTGGATCTAGCCCAATGAGGGGGAGGGTGGCTGGGTCTGGGTCTTGCATGATTTTGAGGTGCACGTGGGTGGGTGGGGACTTGACTCTGGGTCCTGTGGTGCACCCCAGACTCTGACAGGAGGAAGGTTTTAATATACATTTTACTAATTTTCTTTCATCTCTGACACTTCTATTCTAGAGAAAGGGCAAATAGCAATATTAAAATATTTCCTCTAATTAATCCCCCTTTAATGTGCACGACTTTCGTGCACCGGGCCACTAGTTCTTAGTATAAAAATCCAAGGACTAACTGATTTTAAATGATTCCCAATAAGACGAAGGAAGGATACTCATTCATTCAATTAAGATTTATTTTCTTGGGCATCTACTATGCATATATAAGTTATATGGGGATATAAACATGCTAAGACTTGGCTACTGATCTTAAGGAACTAAGTTTAGTAAGGAAGCTGTGATATATAACAAATACTTCCCTATCCTCAGGTTAACCTCTTATAATTCAACAGTATTCAGTCTGTGGCCCAGTTTGCTCTTAAATTAAGGCTTTCTGAAAGACTAACAGTCCCGTGGATGGTACAAAATATGGCTTATATCCCAGAGAATCTGAGATTTGGGAAAGAGAAATATTTAACTATGCATTTCCCAATTTATAAGGTGATAAACTATCTTATGAGCTCACTACTAAAAATTATAAGAATTTATATATCCAGATTAGTAATTTGAGGCAAATAATGCTTATAAGCCCAAATGTACAACATATTGATAGAAATGTATGTTACTATTCAACACCAACTAAAATCAAGCCTGAAATTAGACTAAATGTATTACTTAGTCTTGTTGACCCCGAGAATAATGGTACCTATTAAGGAGAGCTCCTAGTGGCTGATTGGGCTCAAATTTATACACAGAGCTCAGCAGCCATTACTCAACAGGGGCCTCTCATTCAAGTGGTACTTCAGACAGAAGCCTGAACTAAACTCCTTGTGACCTGCACTGAACTGACTTTCAGCACTGTGTTCCTGACATCTAAGCCAACTTTTACAAAGGAGTTCCTGGAATTATATTTCAACCAATAGGACTGAGACTTTCCTCAACTAATTGAAGATGTATAGCTATATCCTCATCAGCATCTTTATCAAGCAATCAGTGTGGCTCCATTCCAATCAATCAGGACAGAGCTTTTTGAACAAATCAAACTGTGAGGATTTGAACTCCTCTCATTTGCATGAGAAAAGACCAATCAGAGACCACAGGTGAGGACTTCTCTCTATATATAAGTTCCCCTCTGACTCTTGGAACTACTTTCTCTTTCTACCCAAGACTGCATTTCCCTAGCTGGAGCTGTACAACCCAAGCTGTCTTGCTGGAGAAGAATGGAGCTGTCCTCTCTTGGTGGGAGGAAGCCAAATAGATCAGAGCTGTCTAGGCAGGCTGGAGTGGAGCAGACAAGTCTTCCCTACTGGGGGGGGGGGGCTATATAAATCTTGTGAAAAAAGAAAGGGACAAATATTATCTTTCCCCATGTTATGAGGGTGTCAAATTACTCATGCCATTTCAATGCTTATCAAGGTTTATATTCCTTCTAGTTTGTATGACCTGAGACAGATAATCTGAAGAAAAAGAACAGAGGTCTTTGAGTGTTAAGAGATTACCAACCAGAGAAACTTCCACTGATATTAGGTTAAGGTACTATCTTTATGATCAAACTCAAATCTGGAAAAAACAAAGCCACACATGCAAGTACACAAACACATACATACAATTCTAAAAGGCCCTTCAGACTAAAATTTTAATTGCAAAAGTATAATATGAAAACAGAATTAACACTTACAATAATCAAATTAAGAGTACAAACCTTAAATGGCAACATAGATAGCAGAATTATTACCCAAGTAATCCTTTAAATTTATGATCCCCAGTGGCCAAAATATTCAAAAGATAAAGATCCTCTCTTTATTTGAAGTTACTAATTTAAAAATAAGGTATCCCTAAGGTATTATTACAGATTTTTAAAGTTCTAAAAGATCATTTTAACGTATGATAGCCATTTAATTAAACCCTTTTATAACATTACTGACTCATTTGCAATCACTCAGTTTGGCAGACATCAAGAACTTACTTTCTCATTTACATGGGGAAAACCTCAAAAGCCATGGAAAGTAAAGGACTCTTAAATGACTTCTGTTGTATATTTTTCTTCTATCAGTATTTGACTCAGTATCCTTTATGTGTCCAGAGAATTGGTTATTTTGCAAGAAGAGTGGCTCACTTTTCTATTTTTTTGATCACAGATATGTTCTTCTAAACTTTTTTGGTTAATAAAAATAAGTTTTCATTCTTTTAGAAGATATGAGGTGGGTGGCAGGGGTGGATGCTCAGGAACATACTGGCCATTGTGGTCAGATGGAGAGTAAAAAACAATGGAAGTCAAGAAATACATTGTTTATACATAATGAACAATACTCTGCTTCAATTGCCCCAATTCATATTCATACATGCTATGTACATAGTCCAACTATCCATTGAATTAGCTTTCTAATCATATAAAAAACCTATTTCTAAGAATTAATATATACCACCTCTTGCTCACACCCTTGCAACTATTTATTTTTATATTTTTTATTGATTTCAGAGAGGAAGGAAGAGGAAGAGAGAGATAGAAACATCAGTGATGAGAATAATTTGATCAGTTGCTTCCTGCATGCCCCCCACTGAGGATGGAGCCCACAACCCTGGGCATGTGTCCTGACCCAGAATTGACCAGTACTTCCTGGTTCATAGGTCAATGCTCAACAACTGAGCCACACTGGCCAGACCCCTACAACTAGTTAAAAATTTCTCCTCCTATAGTGTTCTCCATAACAGTTAACAGTGTCACAAACCTCTGGTCAATTGGTTTAGGAACCTCAGAATCATGTTTGAATAATCACTGTTAACCTACTAAGCCCTGTAGATGCTACTTCCTTATCTCTCATTATTAAATACTTCTTTCCATTCCTTAGTCTCTCTATTGCCAACTCTAAAAACGGAACCAAGCTTGGGTCTAAAGAAAGAAAAAAAACAGGCTTCCAGAGAGAGAGAGCTTGAGGGCTTTAGTACAAGTAGCCCCTGATATTTATATTGGTTGCTCAGTGATTGCTTACTTCCAGAATCCTGTCTTATGCTCTGAATAACTGAGGTTGCCAGATAAGATTTATGTATAAACTAGACCCTCTTCTAAGTGCTTTACATGCATTAACATATTTCATCTTCACATCAACCCTATAAGGTAGGCATTGCTGTTATTCCATCCTATATAATAAAGAGGTAATATGCAAATTGACCCTTGCTCCATCATGCCATCACATGATGGCTGCGCCCACAGTGAAGGCAGGGGTCTTGTAACACAAAATGGCTGCACCCACAGTGGAGGCAGGGCTCCTGTAACGAGCCAGAATGAGCAATCAGCAGGGACCTGAGGCTGCATGGCACCAGGCTGTGGTGGGGGACCTCAGGCTGTGCGCCCTGCCCAGTGGAGTTTGACAGGGGACCTCAGGCTGTGACCCCTGCCTAGCAGGGCTTGATGGGGAACCTCAGGCCATGCCCCCTGCCCAGCAGGGCTTGAAGGGGGACCTAAGTCCATGCCCCCCCACCCAGCAGGGCTTGATGGGATACCTCAGGCTGCACCCACCACTTGGTAGGATTTGACGGGGGCCCTGAGGCTGAGCCCCCCACCTGGCAGGGCTTGATGGGGGACCTGAGGCTGCACCCCCTGCCTGGAGGGGCTTGACATGGGTGGGGCCGGCCGGGTCGGGATCTCGCCCAATGGGGGTGGGGCCAGCTGGGTCCGGGTCTTTCCATGATTTTGAGGTGCCACGGGTGGGCGGGAACTTGACTCTGGGTCCCACAGCATGCCCCAGACTCTGACAGGAGGAAGATTTTCATGTACATTTTACTAATTTTCTTTCATCTCTGACACTTCTATTATAGAGAAAGGGCAAATAGCAATATTAAAATATTTCCTCTAATTAATTCCCT